AAAAAAAAAAAAAACTTACTAGCACTGTGTTTTTCTAAACTAAGCTTGCCAAACACATGAGCAAAAGTTTCAATGGCAAAGGAACTGAGGAGAGCGTCAACATGGATTAACCATGTCAAGATTTCTTATGTTAATTCCATGCTGCACTGTTATATAATTACCATTCCCGTTTTCCAGGAAAGTGAAGCAAAAGGTAGGCAGTAACTCACCCAAAGCCACGAAGCTAGGAAAGAAAAAAATAGGGAAGTCTGGATCCAAATTTACGTCTCACTGATAGACAAAGCAAATCCAATTCGATTCAATTTGATTCGACAAATAGTTACAAGTTGGCTCCATTTTGAGAGATATAAGGATAGATGAAACTGTTTCTGCTGTCGAGGGGCCTAGTCTAGGGGACACGCTCACCCAGCCTCAGCTTGCCCTGCCACAGTGAAAGCCAGTGGATTTAGAGAGGCAGTGGGTAAAGCCACCTGCCCAGGGCTCTGCAGAGAGGAAGGGAATGGCATCTGGAAGGACAAAGAAAAATTTGCCTCGTAGAGAAAAGGACTTTATTAGCCAGTGCTTCCTAAAATACCTACAGTGAAAGACTGTTTTTCTTTTTTTTTTTTATTCCCAGTCCACCATAGATTGGTGCTTCTGTCAAATATAATAAAAATACTTGATAGGAACATCAAATATAGCTAAAGACATGTAAAATTACAAGCCCACTGATTATGGGCTTGGATGTCATGGCAGTACCAAAGCTTCTAAATGATAGTCTCGATTTCTGTAATTACCTCATCATAGACCAGCAGTAAACAGTTCCTGGCCTGCACTACTCGAGGAAAAAGAGTAACTCACAGGCTGGCGAGGGCCTGGGTCCCTCAACCAAAGTGGCAAGTCATTCAGGCCAACATTAGAATTGTAACTTTTACACCTTACACTAATTTTCCTATGAAATAAAGAAATGGCTCCTCTTTTTAAAATCATGGCCACAAGCAGTGAAGCCACTGAAGTTTACATGATAGAGAATTATATGCCACATCTGCAAAATGGAAGAATAATCTTGGTAGCAGTGTGAAAGCTGGAGGTACATGGGACGGGGCCACGTGGACGGAGGCATATTGGTTAGTGGCTACTCCAAGCAAAACAGGAGAGCAAACATTGGCATTGGTCATGGGGCAGGGGTGAGGAACAGAGAAACGCCCCGGGGTGTGTAAGAGGTAGGAGTCAGGGACACATCTCTGGCTCGGGGGAATAACTGGAGGGGAATGACACAGCCCAATAGAGGGAAAAAGGAGAAGGGCTCACATGTGAGAGGACAGCTTAGTTTCTGTACTAGACAATCTACTGTTAGCCTAAGTTGTCAGCAGCCAACTAGCACTTACTGACTGTATATTATTCAATTGACAAAAATGGGTTGAATATTGGTAATTCTCATATGGTTCAACCTAGTAGCTTGTCTCTTTTTTTTTCTGTTTTGAGACAGAGTCTTGCTCTGTCACCATAGGTAGAGTACTGGGTGCCTTCATAGCTCATAGCAACCTCAAACTCTTGGGCTCAAGCGATCCTTTTACCTCAGCCTCCCGAGTAGCTGGGACTACAGGCACATGCCGTAACACCTGGCTAATTTTTCTATTTTTAGGTAGAGATGAGGTCTTGCTCTTGCTCAGGCTGGTCTTGAACTCCTGCCCTCAAGCAATCCACATGCCTCAGTCTTCCAGAGTGCCAGGATTATAGGCATGAGCCACCGCACTGGACCCTCCACCTAGTATTTTCTTAAACTTGGGCTTTACAAAGGCAATTCCACTTAACTCAATAATCCAGAATGTAGATATTATTATCCCTGTTTTACAAATGGGTAAACAAAGGCTTAGAGAGGCTAAGGAACTCGCCCTACAGTTATTTGGAGGCAGAAGTAGGATTCAAAAATCTTCCCATCCTAGACTCAGGGTCACCACTGTTTCTATTCATTGTCCCCCAAACCCCATCAATCCCTTGGCTCTGGTTGTTTGAGACATTCCTGTATGTATCACAGTTCTGCAAACTTTTTTAGGAAGGGCCATATAAGAAATCTTAGGCTTTGCAGGCTACACAGTTTCTATCACAATTATTCAGCTCTGCCATTATAGAATAAAAACAAAGATAATATGTACACAGAATGAATGTGGTCGTGTTGTAAAACTTCATGTGTAGAGCCTGAGACTTCAGTTTCATGTAATATTTGTGTATCAGGAGATGTTATCTTTCTTTTGATTCTTTTCAGCCATATAAAAATATTTAAACCATTCTCAGCTCACAGGCCATATACAGACAGCAGGTTGTAGTTTGCTGGTATCTTCTCATATGCCAGAGACTGTGGGATATTATCTAGTGACATGACTATAAGATATGGAGGAATCGGGAGAGGGATTATGCATGCTGTACAGCCCGCTCCAGTCTTTCTGTCTGGAAACATCAGTTGGGCCTGGAATGAATCATCTAGATTTTACAATTGACTGTTTTATATATTTTGACTGCAAGATAGCTTTCCCCTGGAGGGTGACGGCCACATGTGCACACTGATGCATTGTAGAATAAACTCATCAACGTGTGTCCTTTGATTTTAAATTGCTTGATGAACAGCAAATCACATCACCTGTACAGGATCTTTCATTCTGATAACTGGCAGAACTTAAACGATGCATCCAGAGATTCTTACAATGCTGTTCTTTTCCCATTTAGACAGAAAAAACGACCATCAATGAATTCGTCTCAGTCATTGATGATATTTCTAAGTATTGCATTCAAGTGAGAGCAGCGGTGAGCTCTGTGTGCAGAGCTTCAGGGCTCTGGAGCCAGTGGAGCCGCCCCCTGTACGTGGGTGAGTAGCCCTTGTTGATTTCTCAGCAGCAGCCTTACTCACAGGCAAAGCAGACCATCCCAGAAAGAGTACACTTTCACGCGCGGGTCTTGAAATGTTCACATCTCTGCCATGGCTCCTCTTCTGTCAGTTCCTTGCCTTATCAATCTGAGATGGATTGGCCAAAATGCTGATGAAGTTAAAATATCCCAGTTTCTCATCAGGATGATCCTTTCTGGGTCTGGTACCTGTTCTCCTTCTCCCCCAGATTTTTGTTTCTACTGCCACCCAAATGTTTAATGAAACCCCTTATTTTGAGATTTTTGTGGAGTCACATGCTATTGTAAGAAATAATAAAGAGAGAACCTATGTCTCTTTTACCCAGTTTCCCCCAAGTGTAACATCTTGCAAAACTACAGCCCAATATTGCAATAAGAATATTGGTCCATTGATCTTATTCAGATTTCATCAATTTCATGTGCACTCATGTGTGTGTGTGTGTGTGTTTAGTTCTAACATTTTAGCATATGCTTAAGCTCACGCACCCATCACCAGAGTCAAGATCCATCGCCACAGGGATCTTTGGTGTTGCCCTTTTATAAACACACTCACCCCTCTCTCCCCTGCTCCATCCCTAACCCCTGGCAACTACCAATTGTCCTTCTCTATAATTTTCCCATACCTAATTGTGAATTCATATTTGTTTCTTTTTAAAAAGAAGATTGCAAAATTAAAAAAGAAAATAAATGGAATAATCTTCAGAGGCCACACGATCTGGACCTGTCCCTAAATCTTCAACCTGACAGACTCTGAGGATCAAAAGGGTTGGGCCTCGCCAGGCTTCTATGTTGGTTCACAGGTTGTTTTCATTTATGAACAAACGAACCAGTTTGCTTGGCAACTAAGATGAGCGTCTTATTTGCTAGGGGGGATCCCCAGAAGAGAATGGCAGCTCTGGATGAAAGGGAAAATTGCCAATCTTCCCAAGACAGATGGCAATCCCATTTCCAGGAGATGTGACCTTGCACCTTAAGACAGAAAATTCACCCTCTCTGTTTGCTGTTACTTCGGTGTTTAGGACAAGCAAACATGGACATTAATGAGAGAAAGGGATGGTTGAGAAACTAGTATGTCCCATGTATATGTCACAACTATCCAGCCTTGGCCTTCAGACACACATGGGTAAGTGTTTCATTAGCTCTATAAGAGCATGGATGGTGGGACGAACATTGGCGTCTTCCATAGAAAGCCCAGATTTAATGCCCAGCTTTGGCAGATGTTGACTGTGTATCCTCAGACAGATCCTCTCTTTGCTTGGGTTCTCAGAATAAAGGAGGTAACACTCGCCTCGCCTGCCCCGTGGGTATCATGAAATAAAATCAATGATGATAGTAGATCACATGTATTGGTACATTTTGCCAAGCACTATAACTTAAATGCTTCACGTGCACTATTTTAGTTAATCTTTCCACAACCTATTTCACAGATGAGGAAATAGGTTTGGAAAGTTTAGATACTTTGCTTACCCCTGCATGGCCAGCAAGTAGCAGAGATGGGGCTCGACCCTAAGCTGACTGACTCCAGCACCCCATCTCTTGGCACTTGGGCATGATATGACAGGATCTGGCAAACTGCATCAATTAAAAACTTATTTCAGAGATATACTTCGTCCTTCTGGCTGGCCAAGCATATGAATGTCATCTCTCATGAATCATCTGAGGGACTCCTTGACATTTTGGAGGGTATACTTACATAGGGATTTCTCTCAGGCACATACTCAAATGTTCTGCTATTTAATCCATTCACTTAGGCTACGGGGTGGATCTGCAGGGCACTCTTGGGCAGTGACACATTAGCCCATGTGGATGTGAGTCAGATCAGACATACAGCAGGTAGATTTCCATGGAAGACTGGAAAAGGCCTGAGAAATGGACAACAGTTCTGAGTCTACAAGAGGCCTGGTCATGCTAAGTTGCTGAAGTCCCAAAGGAGAATGGCACCGTCTAGAGTTGTGCAGCACACAGCTAGTTAGAGGGTGGCCCTGGTGGCACTCGGAAGGATGCAGAGGAATAGCATGAGGCTTCCTGGGGAGAGGGAGCTGAAAGGAGGGGAAAGGAACGGAGACAGGGCCACATTCGCCTCCTCCACTCTCACTGGGGCCAGTCTTTTCCTCCCTCCCAGGGTGCTGCCTCCACCTGACCAAATTGACCCAGCACACACAGGCTCTCCCTCAACCTTGCTTCATTTACACAAAGACAATTCACTCTTTTTCTCTTGGAAGGAAATAAATAGGAGAAACATTAATCAGCTAAGGGAATTTTTAACACAGTTTTTTTTTATTATTATTTATTCATTTATTTATTTATTTAGAGACAGTGTCTCACTCTGTGACCCTAGATGGAGGGTCATGGCATCATCATAGCTCACAGCAACCTCAAATTCTTGGGCTCCAGTGTTCCTCTTGCCTTAGCCTCCCAAGCAGCTGGGCCTCACAGGGGCCCACCATAACACCCAGCTAGTTTTTCTATTTTTAGTAGACACAGTGTCTCGCTTTTGCTCAGACTTGTCTGGAACTCCTGAGTTCAAGCGATCCTCCCACCGTGGCCTCCCAGAGTGCTAGGATTCAGGCGGGAGCCACTGTACTGGGCCCAAGGTTATTATTTTTGCCAAATCCTATGGTGGAAACTTAATTTTGGTTACTTGAATTTGATGGATTTTTTTTTTAATGTTTTATGTTATTTCCCAGGGGCCCAAAACTCACCCTCCTCAAATTTCTGCCATTTCAAAGTGTCTTTCCAACACTGCCATATATTCATTTTAGAAATTTTTTTTTGTGTGTATGTGCTGCCCAAGGGACCTCAAACCAAGAGACCAAGATCAGAATCCTGGCTAAGAAGCCAGTTATGCTTTCTGGGTATTTGAGTTTTTGAAGTTACAGTCAATGTTGACTATAGAGAGTTTAGAACTTGTAGTATGCAAAAAAAGCATGAGATTAAATCAGGACATCTAGGTTTTAGGCATCACTCTGCCAATGTCTAGCTCTCTGGCCCCAGTTAGAGATGGTGAAAGATAATATTTTGTGAGCCAAAGAATCAGGGACTGCTAACAAGACAGTGTCAGAAAGCCTTCTGAAGCTAAATGTAAGTTGTCGTAATGTTACGGTGAGAGCAAAATGACCACCAGACAAGTAATCTTTAAAAGGCCAATAAGGAGCCTTTATTCCGACCGTGGACAGCTGCCCTCTGTTCTCCGTGAGGAGAACAGCCACGACCAGGGTTAATGCACAGCTTTTATAGGTTGGATGATGCAGCAAGCAAGCCCCGGGACTCTGTAACTGGCACGTACAGAAGCTGATTCATGGGTAGTGCCTGTGGCTCAAAGGAGTAGGGCACCAGCCCCATATGCCAGAGGTGGCAGGTTCAAACCCAGCTCCGGTCAAAAACTTAAAAAAAAAAAGAAGCTGATTCATGGCAACTGCAGTTACTTGGTTAAGCAAAATATTTGTAACATTACTGGGGTTAGCATGACCTTATTCTGTCTGTGTTGGCCATGAAGGCAGCAAAGCCTTATCCTGTGTGTGTGCGTGTTCCATGAAGTCTCATCCTATGGGTGTTCTTCAAGGCCTCATCTCGTGTGTCCCTTCTCCTCCCATCCCTGTTTCCTGGGGAAGGGGAATGGGGGAGCTGGGTCCCTGGCCCACCAGGCCACCATCTCAATAATGAGTGTTGATCTCCTGCCACTATTGCAGAGGACAAAGTGATGACCAGGGTGCCAGGGTTTTGCCACCCTGACCTAGACAGTCTTACCCACCCTCTCTGGGCCTCAGTTTCCTCACCTGTAAAATGTGATGCTATATTCCAAGGCTGCTACCAACTCTGCCATTCATGTTCCCCTCCACTTCACCAGCCCACCACGAAAGTGCTGAGAGTGAAATTGTGGCCCGTAAGGAGCGCTTAGTTCAAGCTTGTTTTTAACTTATTATTCACTCTCCACTTTAGAGCGCTCGGACCATTATCATTTCCTAAATAATAGCTTCCTAGTTTGGATCTGGGCTCATTATCGTTTCCCCCCAGGTGTACCTCACTGCCATTATCTACGGCGAATCCCATTTCATTTACTGCCACCCTCTCATGCAGATGAGCTGATTAATATCACTCCTCACCTTATAAATCCATCCTTTCTGGAATTTACTCCCCTGCTCGGTTTAGGATCATTAGTGAATTTAATCAATGCAGACTTCCATTTTCATCAAGATGATTAATAAACATAATAGGAAGTCCAATCCCCTCTGGGACATTTCACAATGGTTCCTCTTTACCCCTTGAGGGCTCAGCAATAATTGTGCTCAGCTAGGGGTCTATCGGGCCACTTTCTCAGTTCATGCATTTCCATTTGGTACCTTTCCTCCTCCTCTGCCTTATCTTAGAAATGGCACACTGGAGCCCTTCTCTCCTACTTTCCCCAAAGGCTCAACTCAAATATCACCCCTTTCTTAGACACTAAGTCCATCCATCTTTATTTCAAAGTAGGGAAAGGGAGGCCCAGACGTATTAAGTGACTTGGTGGTTGTCAAACAGCCCAGATGTGGCTATTAATGTATATACTTTTCTCAAATGACATATGAGCCAATTAGTGGAATAGAATAGATTCAGTTAACTAGTTAACCTATGATAGCCCAAGGTCATTGCATAAATTTAGAGTTAGGAACCACAGTAAGTTTCAACTAATGAGATGAGAGGATTGGGAGAGGTTCTGTTGGCCAAGGTCCCTGGCCAGCTGAGAGGCACAGGGGGTGGTAGTGGGGAGGATTGACATGCTCTGTGCCTACGCTGAACTGCCAGAGACCTCCTGTTCTAGGAGTTCCAGAGCATGGAATATCTCCCCCCCTTTGGATACAGAATCTTGCTAAAATGTCCAGGCTACATTCAAATTCCTGGTCCCATGTAGCTGCCTCCCAAGTAGCCACAAGTGCAGGGAGCCGCCTGTGCCTGGCTGGAATTATTCAATAGCTGTAGCAGTTT